TCAGATCTGGCCACGCAGCACAGATGTCCTCCTCCATGTCACAGCGGCTGGCGGATTTCGCTAACGAGGCTAACGAGGGGACGCCTCCAGGCGAGACAGGCTCCCTCGTGTTTGCATGGCAAATTTAGCAGAGATTTAATCCGTCCTGGGGTGCTGTGGCTCTCGCTGAGTGTGACTTAGAAAGATCTTTTCTAACGGGCTTAACATCCACTATGCACACTGCTGCATGAGAAATATAGCCATGATATATTTTAGCGTTAGAATTTCAAGACTCCCCGTCCCACACTTTAAAATCCATGTGTCAGAGATTTTATGATTTAAAGCCTATAATTAAAATATTTTCTACTACCCTGGATAGTTCATTCAAAAATGAGCAGTTGCTGCTACTTTCCTCAGGGCATCTAAGGTGTAGGTGACTTTATTTCTTCAGTAGAACATTATAAAGAATATTTTTAGAACTGGCTTAAAAGAAAGATTTGTTCACATAGCTGACATCACTCAAGACTCTTTGAAGGCTGCAGTATAGGTAAAAATGTTGTATAGTGTTCAGTTTCTTGCAGAGATTGATCATTTTGCCTCACAAGACCTTAGTGTAAAGAATCTATGCGTATGCATATATTTGTTTTGTCTGTAGATGTTTTTAATCTTTAATGTTCTTCTGAAGAAAAAAATTACCTATATTTTAAATAGCCTGGGGGTAAAAAAAACACACCAGTGTCATGTGTTTGCGTTGTAATTTATTATGCATTCCTATACTGTACTAACTAAGTGTAAGTACTTGCTGTAATAGCAATGCTTCATTTGTTTTAGCATCCGAAACAGCAGCAGTGTTAAGTTTGTGGCAATTCTGCATATTTAAAAGTGATCATTATTTTTGTAATTCAGCTCTGTGAAAATAATGGTGCAGAATTTCCACACTCTAGCTATTGTGTCCTTCACCTTTTAAAGGGACCAACTTTCCTACCAACTGAAACTAAAGGATATTTTAGCATTCGTAAAGGTGAACTCATGTGTTCTGTTTGTTGTTGCTTAAACAAATGTGCAACTGATGCAAACTTATTGGCTAAAGAATACCCATAATGCACTGTGGCAAAATAAATAGCAAATTAACTCCCATGTCTCACCAAAAGATGCCACCTATAGCTGAATCTATACATCAATTTAAGAACTAATGATAAAGAGGGTAATTTCTTAGAGTTATTTCATACAGTGTATTTTTTTAAATAAAGTAACAGCACGGACAAACTGCAAAAGCAGCAGGTTGCTCTAATGGCACTCTCATGCTTTAAATTCACTCACACGTATTAGTGGACTACTAATACACAAAGCTGGTATTGGAGATATCAATATTTTAGTGTCGCACATCACTACTAACCTGCGAAATTGCGTCATGTGACTGTGTGAGATCAAGCGAAGATCACAATATGACCTCTCTGTACAGGAATTTAAAAGAGAGACCAATTGCTCACCTTTTTAAAAGTCTAATCATCTTTTTTTCATCGTACTATAGAATTTAGCATTTTCAAACTCGACTGTGCCCGCGGCTTAATACAGTCTTGGGATGAACTGTAATTGCAGGACTTCCGAGTTTATTAACCATTGATTGGATGGAAGAAGATCTTAATGTGAGTCTAGAAGACAAAATGCCTGCAGAAGTCTGGCACATGCCACCAAAGTTTGTTATATCACAGTCCTCCTTGTTTTAATGGAGTTCTGAGAAAGAGACGCTGTGGAGAGAAAACCTTTTGATTGATTTATAAATGATTCAGAGTCTCTGAGTTTGTCAATTTGTACTTTTCTTTTTTCTAAAACTAGACTGTTTCTAAAGTACAGCTAATTACCGAACTCATACAAGGAGATATTTAAGATCACAAGGATGTTACACCTTCAAACACACCTTCATGCCCTTCACATTACCCAAATGTGAATCTTTCTCTGTCTCCTTAATTACTCCAAATATAATTGCGCTGTAAACACCAAATAACAATGAGCTTTTAATCACAATGTAACAGGTTATTAGACACTAATGAGGGAGCTTAATTGTTCATGTTTTGGGGGCATCTGCTTGGTCAAACCTGCATTATCCTTTCTGTTTAAAAATAGTTTGGGGGTCTCACCAGATTCATCTCCATTTTGAAAGCAACATGTTTGATATGCCCGTCCTTCAGTGAAAGTCAAGTCAAGGCAGCAGATGTTGCCTTAGCAATAATTCATGATTATCTTCAATCACTTTCTTTAACGAGCTTTTTGTCCCCATGGTGACAGAGAGAATGAGTCTCGCTGCAATACAGTGGGGGAGACAGCTGTCTATAAAAACAAAGCATCATGAAAGATTCACGTGTGTTATTACAACACTAGAAGAAAGTCAACAGTATGTGTTTTGTGAGGGATCAGTGAAGTGTGAAAGGACTTGATGTACGAAAGGGTTACGTGACTGCACTGCAGCACTACTATGGGGGAAAAAAACTTTTATTTTGAAATGCATTAGAGCTCTAGCTACTCAGAGAGGATGTAACCATGAAACAATACTTATCCTTAAAATCAACAGAGGCTATGAGCAGAAATACTACCACATGATAACGGAAAGTCTTTTTGATCTTTTTTTTTTTATCATTTTTTGAAAGTGTACTGCTTAAATCATCTCAGGAGAAACTGATATCAAAAACACATTAAAATGCTAATCGATTTGATGTCAATTCACAACCTTGACAAAAATTGACATTCGTGTTAGTCTTGACATTTTTGACACTTTTTTGGTTCTAGTGTTATGAATGTAGTTTACATGCATTATTGGGATTTAAAATCCAATGCAAATTTAGCCTTTAGCCTTTAGATAAATAAAATAGTTTTGCCTTGTTATTTTTATTATTTTAAATGTTTTGTTATCAAGGTAATCATTGGGATGTCTAATTCTAATTCTGCTCTGTACACTCCTAATTTAGATATTTACTGCAATGCCCCACAAGAAGTATGAAACCGAAATGTTGTATCTTATACATAAATAAGCCACATCCCAAAATATTTCAACGTATTTCAGTGATCCATCCTATCACGATGGAGGAGCAATAGGACAAGTACCACAGGCTCCACCTGTCACAAACATTCTTGTCATACAACAACTACAATAACAGTAATGGAATTTTTTATTATTAATAATTATTATATTGCATCATTGGCGGTGCGGTGGCGCAGTGGGTAGCATTGTTGCCTCATAGCAAGAATGTTGCTGGTTCGAGCCTCGGCTGGGTCAGTTGGCATTTCTGTGTGGAGTTTGCATGATCTTCCCGTGTTCGCCTGGTTTTCTCCGGGTGCTCCAGTTTGCCCCACAGTTCAAAGAAGTGGTATAGGTGAATTGGGTGAGCTGAATTGTTCGTAGTGTAGGAGTGTGAATGAGTGTGTATAGATGTTTCCCAGTTATGAATTGCAGCCGGAAGGGCATCCACTTCGTAAAACATATACTGTATAAGTTGGTGGTTCATTTCGCTGTAGCTACCTCTGATTAATAAAGGAACTAAGCCAAAATGAAAATGAATGAATGAATATTACATCATCATATTGGTGTCTCAGCTGTAGGAAAAACACGCTCTCAAGTGTCCATTGCTAAGCGTTTCAGCTGGCTAAATCCCTCCATACGCAACAAAATACTAGTAGTAAGAACCACATTAATTTAACACAGAGAGACTGCAATAGAACCAAACAAGTTATTAATGATGTGTTCAAATGTGTGTAAGAGATGTGTCTAATTTGTGTGAAAAATGAAGAAAATTACAGGGATAGATAAATCATTCTGGTAGCCAGATCTTTACAAAAAAACAAACCAGAACAAACCCATATAATCAACAGAAATAAATGCAGCTGGAAGGGCATCTGACTAAGCCGACAAGAAAATGAATGAATGAATGTTTTTTTCATTAGTTAATGTTAATTATTGCATTTACTAACATGAACAAACAATCAACAATACATTTAATACTGTATTAGTTAATGTTAGTTAATGTTAGTTCATGAAAATAGAGTAGTTCATTGTTCATGTTAACTCATGGTGCATTAACTAATGTTAACAAGCATGGACTTAATAATAATGCATTAGTAAATGTTCAATTATGATTAATAAATTATGTACATGTGTTGTTCATGATTAGTTCATGTTAGTAAACACAATAACTAATGAACCTTATTGTAAAGTGTTACCAGATGGTAGATGGTAAGGCACTCACCACCAGAACATGCTATGGTGCCATGATAACTCCACTCTCAGTCATCAGTGTTTCAGCCGTGAATAGTGTTTTGTGCACATGCAGTGATCATTTACGGTATTCACTTCTGTATTTAAATTTAGTTGTCACTTCTTAAGCACCACAGTGTGTGTGCATATATTTGTCCCAAAAAGTATGGCAGCATATTATCAAAATATCAGAGAACAAGTGGATATGTGATATGATCATTCTGTTTAAAGTAAATGAAAATATTCATTCTGCGTACCCAATTCGTAACACTTTACCTAAAGAAGGTGTTCATGAGAGTGTCATTACACCTTTATACACATTTATAATGTGACACCTCATGAATATGAAGGAGAGTTAACAGATTTTTATGACAACTGTTATTAAATGTAATTCACTCAGTTATGTAATTTTAAATGCAAAGATGACATTGTTTGAGATGTCTTGACATTATCAAGACAACATAACTTGTCATAAATGTGTCATAAACATTTTTGTCATAATTGTGTCATGAATAGCTTTCTGACCATTATTACGGTGGAACAAACTGAATTACATTTTTAATTTGATCCAATCATTAAGATTTCTCATAAAAAGTCTTAGTACCATATCATATAATTTTACAACATCATAACATTTGTCTTGGCAGATTAATTTATTTTTTATTTTTTTGTCAAAAAAATGAGATCAAAAGTGACAATACTCAGGTATTTTTATGAATGTTTTTCATTATCAAGTAAATTTTGCTTAATCAAATTATTTTCTTTTTATCCCAAGGGGGACCTTATTTTGAAGCCATAGTTGGAGGTAAGTGCTTAAAAACTTTTAATTATTCTTTTTACTTTCAATGTAAAAATATACAGTCACTATTTTACACTGTAAAACACAAAAAGTTAAAGTAACTCAAACCTTTAGATGAAAACGATTACAACAAAGAATTTAAGTAAAAAAAAAAAAAAAAACTATAAAAAACTTATAAAAAAACTAATCCTAATGAGTTCCGTGAACTCAATCCATTTGAGTAAATGAAGCAATTTGAGCACAGTAAAACCTGATAAATGAAGAGAACTCAAAACAACAACAAAAAACTAATAAGTTAAGGCAACTCAAACCGTTTGAGATTGATTGCTACAAACCATTTAAGTTAAAGAACTAATTTATATGAGTACTGTGAACTTCCTCCATTTAAGTTGAAGTAATGAGGTATTTAATTAACTCATTACCTTCAACACTGAGTTCAAAACTCTTTTCAAATGAGTAGAATTAACTTTCAGTAAATTTGAGTTAACTACACTCATTTCATTTGATAAAGTTGCCTGTTGGGCTTTACAGTGTACCTGATGTGACCCTTGAAATGTATTTCCATTGATGTAACAAAATACCAAAGGCTCCATAAAAGTGCTGTAAGCCTTAATAAATCATAGAGACCATTGGTGCTGATGGTTTCTATCATTTGCATGATAGATGTTTAGGTCTAGACACAGTTGTTTTTAAGCCAGTCGTCTGAGCTGTAAATGTCTTGTGGCAGTCCAAAACCTACTAACAACTTCAGGCAGCATATGGGGAAAATATCAATTTTGATTTCTGACTATGTAGTCCTAGTAGACTATTTGATGCTTTAAAGAGCTCTCCAAGTCAAAACTGTGCTCTGATAAAATAGCTCATGTACTGTAATGAAGTAAGTATTACCAATATGTTACTGGGAAAAGAAAATTCATTCATTCCAAATGTACTGCTGTTAGTGGAGAAAGATGCTTTTTGCCTCTAGAGCGTGTAGTTACGAGAACGTTTTGAGAATAGCACTTCAATGATGATCAGAGAGGCTTGGATGACTTTTGTACAAATGAGAGGTAATTTGTCCACAAGATGTTTTCTGGCCTCAGAAGATCTCTGGCTGTGCTAAAAATAAATAAATAAATGAAGTACCAGACCCGCAGTTGTCTAACTTTAGCTCATTTACACGTGAATAATCAGTGTGTGGGTTTGTTCTTATACACAGAAATAATTGGAATCAGCAAATCTCAGCAGGGTTCTAATGATGCTTGCCCTCAAATCCTTTTTCAAGCAACTGCACTTGAATATCACGATACAATCTGTATATTTCATTGTTCAATTTAGTTTGTTAGCACTGTATGTTTTACTATGATCCTCTACACAGCATGTTCTGTAGGTTTGGTTTGGATGCTTGACTGTCAGTGTTTTTGTTAGCTAAATTTACACCAGAATTTAACAAACTGTTACCTCATTTCCCTGTCTTCTCACTTTAATATAATGATGGTGAAAATGGTTTTCAGTTGAATTCCCACTTGAAAATAGCTAAAGATGTGTCAGGAAATATAAATATTCACCAAAAAAGAAAATAAGTATCCAGGGGTTTGGAACCCAGCACTGAAGGTTTTTCCCTTATTAAAGCCATTTTGTTCAAGTCTGATGACTTTGTGTTCATCAATTTTCTTTTGGACTTATTTGTATCAAATCAGAGTTTCTAATGTTATTCTCATCGTAGCTGATTGGTTTGTTTCATATTTTATATTGCTTTAACTAAGACATTTTAAAATCTTTATGGGAAAAAATACATACTTGTAAAATCAACACTGTCAAAACAGTGGTGGATCTGATGTAACATAATACTCTAATGTACATCACTCAAAAAAAAAAAAAAAAACCTATAAAGAACCACAGAAATGTCAACAAAAAATACAGAGGATTTTGGGAAAGTTTATTTACGGTTATTCACATAAGTAAAACTTAGTTAACCAGTTTACACATTTTTACAGTACCATTTTTCTGTGTTTTTTACGACATTTTTAACTCTAATGTGCAGTGCTCAGCATAATTGAATAAACCATATTTTCAAAATGTATATTTTTATCAATTTCTCAGTGAATATGGGAAATATATTTTGGTGCATTTAAACAAAAGAGATTTGTTAAACATATATATTTATTAAAACAATATTTTAGTCACAAAACATATTTAGAAATATAAAGATAATACAACTAAATTCATGTGAAGTATTGCAACAACAAAAAAATACAACATACAAAATTTCAACAAATTTGGAAATTTCAGGAAAAATATTTTTCCTGTTTTTTTTTTTTTGTTTTTTTTTTTTGTATTTAATATTTTTCTATAAGATTTAAATTTGGGTGTACTTCTTTTTGTTATTTTAAGTTATTTTTTCTTAGATAAGCTCCAGATTTGGCTTCAGTACTGATAAATCAAATGTTTATGCACAAATATGAGATTGTATTGCTTCCTGTTAAAATATTAATTTAAAAGATAGATTTGTGAGGGGTGTACTTATATATGCTGAGCACTGTAAGTAACTGATGAGGAAAATCTAAAAAAAAAAAAAAGAAGCATAGTAACTTAAAAAAATCTTAAATTAAGTGTCATGCAGTCATTTTTGGGAAAGTCAATTTACTGTACTGTAATTTAACTTTATTAATAAAAATTTAAAAATTATAAATAAAAATGTTAATTTTAATTTATTAATAAAATAAACGTATTATTATTTTGCTGCATTATTTTTTCATTTTTTTACCTTTAAATTTACAGCCATTTTTCAGTGCAGCAGATTTACAAAAGTAATCTTTAGGACAAACTCAACTCAGCGCATGTTTTTAAGCTGAAGCAACAAACATAAGTACTTACAGCTGACTTACATAAGTCAAGGCAAAACAGAAAAAACACAACAAATTCAGTAATTAGGTTACTTACAAAATCATCTTTAAAAAGCTAAAATGTGGAATAATGTTTTACAGTCAAGCTCAATCAACAGAATTTGCAGAATAATGTTGCCTTTAGCATAAAAAATGTGAAATAAAACCTCTGTGTATGTGTGTGTGCGTGTGTGTATTAGTTGTCATTACGGCAGTGGTTCTGGTCCTGCTCCTCCTCCTGGCCATCATTCTGCGATACATGTACCAGCACAAGGGCACATATCATACCAATGAGGCCAAGGGCACAGAGTTTGCAGAGACAGCAGATGCTGCCCTTCGCAGAGACCCAGCCCTGCAGGACGCCGTGGATGAAAGCAAGAAAGAGTATTTCATATGAGACCATAAACAGCCCTTTATACGTGCCATATAACAAACTGCGATGCAGGCTCACATGATGCCTTAATACTGTTTGCTGGAGCAGTGACGTAGAGCTGACTGAGCTTCTGCAAACACAAACAAACAAGAGTGATATGAAATTCCTCTATTTGTCAATACTGGAGAGTGATTTCATTTATTTCCATCTGATAAACAGGAAATATTTGAGGTATACATAGAACAATTTGCCATACTCTTTGTATTCAAAGCCGGCTTTCTGTACAAACATCAGCTGAGGGGAATGTGATGGTGTTCAGGTGAAGACAAGGACATTTATAGGACTTACTAAACAGTATATGATGGTGAATGGCAAGAGGATTAAGAAGTAAAATTAGAAAAAAACAAGCTTTTATTGACAAACTAGGAAGTCAAGGAAGGATTGTTTTTTAAGTTTGCCAATTAAAATTTCTTACATATAACTTAAATCCTAAAACACTCTTTTAAAAATGCCTCTAAAAGCCAATCTTAAAAATTTTATGAACAACATATTTACTTTTTTTGAAAAGAAAATGACCAGCTTTGTTCATTTCGTTTAGTTTTTCGTAGTAGTTTAATCCCAAAGGGAAATTCACGTCACAGCAGAGCTCATCATACAATGAAATAAGTAAATAATAAAAGTGGAAAAACACACATCCATACTGCACCCCTTAGTTTCAAGCAATAAGTAGACAGTAGTCCATGCCTATCAATACAATTTCAGTTATCAATTTGCCATTCAAAATTTGACATTGATTATACAATCTAATCGCTGTTGGTAAAAAAAGACTTTCTGTATCGTTCCCTGTATCTATTCCCTCCAACACCAGGGCTGAATTAATCTTGAGCTTAAAGAGTTTGCACGAGTTGTACTGCATGTCTCAAAAAGAGGATGACGATCATGGTTTAACATACTGACAAATTTGTCCATCATTCGATCATGGGCTATCTTATAGTGGATGTCCTCATTTCACAACAGAACCTGCCTTTTTTATAAGCGTGTTGAGTTTGGAGTTGTTATCTGCTTGTGAAAATGACCAGCTTTGATAGTCCATGACTATCAATACAATTTCAGTTATCAATTTGCAATTTATATTATGACATTGATTATATACAATCTAATCACTGTTGGTAAAAAAGACTTCCTGTATCGTTTCCTATAACACCAGGGCTGAATTAATCTTGAACTAAAGAAGATGACAAAAAGAGGATGACAATCATGGTTCAACATACTGACAAATTTGTCCATCATTCGATCATGGGCTATCTTATAGTTGATAGTTCTCATTTCACAACATAACCTGCCTTTTTTATAAGCGTGTTGAGTTTTGAGTTACCTGTTTATGTTGTGGTTCTCGCCAAAGATTATCTGATCCACTCCATGTGTAATTTAATAGGCCTGCAGATTAATGTATTGAATTCAACATTTCAAACCACTTTATTTTAACATGGGTTGTATTTTACAAGGAGACTGTCTAGGGCAGGGGTGGGCAAACTCGATCCTGGAGGGCCGGTGTCCTGCACAGTTTACCTCCAACCCTAATCAAACACACCTGCTTATAGATTTCTTGTGATCTTAAAGACACTGATTAGCATGTTCAGGTGTGTGATTAGTGTTGGAACAGGATCAAGTTTGCCCATCCCTGGTCTAGGGACTGGATCAAACCCGTTAGTCATCAGTTTAGAATGAGAACAGGAACAATTACTGATAAAAGAGAAGAACTGTGAGGAAAAGCCAGTGGGTTATTAGAGGCAGAATTCTTACCCTCATTTATGCAAATGTTAGCCATCATGGTTTTATTTTTACTGATGATTCTGTATGTAATGTCTTGAGCTTGTGAAAAAAGCCAATTTTTATAAGAGCTAATTGTAAGGCTGGTCTAATGAATGGTTGCTTGTAATTAGAAGCAGTAGTAGAGTTAGGCAGTGGAGTAAATAAATAAGAAAAATGTCTGCTTCATATGCCTTCAATTTTTAATTTCATGTTTACACAAGCTTTTGCAAAAAATTAAAATCAATTATACTGCTGTTGGGTTCTGTGTGTGTATGTGTGTTTATTATTTTCCAATTTAATCAGAATTTATCCACTTGATTTTTGTCCTATCTAAAAGGAATTTAATTTATTTAAAACTATTTTCCAGGTAGCACTTTTTACTCTGTGTGTGTGTGTGTGTGTGTGTGTGTGTGTGTGTGTGTGTGTGTGTGTGTGTGTGTGTGTGTGTGTGTGTGTGTGTGTGTGTGTGTGTGTATAATATCAACCTGTCATCTCACTCTTTAAAAAACATTTTCAGATTTACAGCAAGTGTACAAAAATTACTACATCACAAAAAAATTGTTAAAATAAATATTTTAAACAAAACATTTGTTTTCTAGTTTAGTTAAGGTGATGAAAACTAGTAGATGAAACTGACCTGCACTTGAAAGCTTCTTGTTGTAGAGCTTTGCTTTAGCACACACTTTCTTTTTTTTTTCGATCTCTATGAAGTTCAGCAGAGATGTACAGAGCAGGGGAGAGACAAATGCAAGCATTCAGGTGAGAGGGCTTAGAAAACCATCTGTAGAAGACATGCGCTCTCCTCACCATATGCACCAGACACTTTCTTATAAACACTCCATGTTTCTGGGAGAACAAACAAAAACTTCTAAACTAACTTGTTTTGACATCAATATTGTATTATACTAATTTGAAGTGTTTCTTTTGCCCTTATTTGTTTGTTGCTTTGGATAGAAGCTTCTGCTAAAGGAATAAATGTAAATGTACTGAGTTTTGATTTTTTAAATAAATGTTTTGTAATAATTGAATAATTGAATCATTATAACATTAATAATATTTAACAAATAAAATAAATAAACAAAAAGGGCAGTAGGCAAACCTGTTGAGCACTAGGAATACTGCTTGTGGAGTTTTCAGATCTGTGATCTACCATTTTTCATGGTCCATGATCAATAAATCATTTATTTTCTTGCCGCAAGCATGTGCCGCTTTTTTCACATATTTTATATTTGCCCCAAAATCTGACCCAGGTTGAAAATGAAAACTTTATTGGCTCATTAAAAAGTTACATGTACTGTAGGCCTACCTAAGTCTTTTCACACAGTGTTAGACTCAGAATACAATGCAAAACACTTTTTATTAGTGTTTCTTGGTGCAGTTTTGTTTTTGCTGGATTTGAACAGCCCCTGGCCATTTAATTTTGTGTTCAAGAGAACATTCTGTTAAACATCTCCTTTTTGCTTCAGATATAAAACAAAGCCATACAGGTTTGGGACAATGCGAGTGTGAGTAAATGATGATAAAATGTACATCTTTGGTTGAAGTATTCCCTTTAAGCTCAGAGCAACCGCAGTAGAAAGAGCTCACGCTGTGCTCCATTTAGTGATTTTTGGATCAAACAACTAGGCCTCGGGCCATTGATAGTTTCAGTCCCTCTACTAGGGGGAGTAATTAGTGCAGGTGTTACGTATTTGAGTCGTGCATGGGGAAACGAGAATTTGCAAATAAAATATGAAAACGTTATCTTGTGCAAACAGTTTGTGTTGTGGTGGGAAGCGGGGTTCTCTAAATATGATCCGTGATGTGTTCTGTGATAAATAAATGTTCAATAAAATTTCTTCTGGAAGACTTTTACAAAAAAATGTACACATTATTCAAAGGCCAGTACAGATGCTGATGCAACAAAATGAAAATGCCAGACATTTCGGAGGTGAGCTACACCGCGAGAATCCGACACGAGTGAGAGATATTTTTCTTTTGATTAATTCTTAGCTTCAAGGATGGAGGCTGAAAATAAGCCCTGAGCACCAAATCTCATCTCACCTTCTCAACTCCCTCCTCCTCGTCCAGCACTCTTGATTAATGACACCTCAACTCTAAAGCTTTTTGCCTTGGTGTTTTTTTATTTTATTATTATTTTTTATGTTAACAACTGAGAGGACAATTCTGTGTAATGGCTAGACTGCCTGTCATCACTTATATTTTGATAATCAACACTGACACCTCTATGATTAACCATCTGTAAACAGGAGTGAGATGCGAACAAGGACACAATTAACACCTCCCACAATGCTCTGGCATAAACGCTTCTTTCATAGAGTCACATCCCATACTGTTTGATAACAGTAAACTGTGAGAGGAGAGGAAATGTGCTTAACAAAAATAGATTATCTATATATCCATCTATCTATCTATCTATCTATCTAT